ATGTAAAATGATGGAGCCATTATGGAAAACAGCATGACAATTCCTCAAAAAATTGTAAGTAGAACTACCATATGATCCAATACCACTTGTGAATATATGTCCAAAAGAATTAAAAGCAGGGTTTAAAAACAATGTTTGCAACCCATGTTCATAGCAGTATTATTCACAATAGCCAAAAAGTAGAGGCAACCCAAATGTCCATTGGTGGTTGAAGGGGTAAACAAATGTAGTACATGCATACAATGGAATATTGTTTAGCCTTAAAAAGGAAGGAAATCCTGACATACTACAACATGGTTGGACCTTGAGGACATTATGTAAGTGAAATAAGCCAGTTACAAAAGACAAATACTGTATGATTTCACTTATCCAAGATCCCTAGAGTAGCCAAATTCATAGAAACAGAAAGTAGAATGGTGGTTGCCATGGGTTAGGGGAGGGGAAATCAGGGAGCTGTATGCTTAAAAATGGTTAAGATGGTAAATGTTATGTGTTTTACCACAATTTTTAAATTTAAAAAGTTTTTAAGCATACTCAGTGACTTGATAATTATACTTATCAATTCAATAGATAATTTAATTTTCTATTAGTGTAGTTGATGTCTGTCATATTATTGACTATATTCCCTATACTTACATCCTTGTGATGAATTTATTTTACACTTGGAAGTTTGTACCTCTTTACCCCATTGCTTAGTCTCCTCTGGAGCTACTGATCTCTTCTCTGTGTTTATGAATCTATTTTTATTCTGCTTATTTTATTTCTTCAATTCCACACGTAAGGGAAATCTATGGTATTTGTCTTTGTTTGATTTATTTCACACATACTACAATTTAAAAACCTTTTTCTATGTTTGAAGAGAACCATGATTTGCATAATCTCCAAGTATCTCTCCCAAGATATTTCTTAACCACAACAGTAAAGACACCCAGCAGAAAACCCCTTAACCAACTGATCACAGTTAACATCCCTAGCAGTAAGACATACCAACATCAGAAGCCCTGTGATATGGTGGTGTTCTGTGAAGTATACGACATCAATTTAGTAACACTCTTGCCAAAAATGCGTCACCTCAGCCCAATCATGAGAAAACATCAGATAAATCTAAACAAGAAACTGTTGGTCAAGATAACAAATCAGTACTGGTTAAAAGTGTCAAGGTTATGAAAGACAAGAAAAGACAGAGATGCTGTTATCACAGTCCTACAAAACTGCCAGTGACCAAGGAGAGATGCCAGCCAAATGCAGTGGAAGAGAAAAAGGCCATTAGTGGAAAAACTGATGAAATTGAAACAAGATGTTTAGCTAGCGTGTTAATTTTTAACATAAGTAATTTAAATTTTATTTTATTTAAACTTATTCAATTAAATAATTTTAATTTATTTAGGCAAATCATTTTAAACTTAATTTAGCTAAAAATGTTAATATCAAGTCCCTCATTCTGATCACTGTACTGTGATTCTGTAAGATGTGAACATTGGGGGAGTCTGAATGAAGAAATAAACCATACTATTTGTGAAACTCAACATTGAGTTGGGAGAGAGTAACCTACCTTATCAATCATAAAACCCCTGTGTTCGTGACATATTGGAGGCTATCCAGACGCTGAAGTTAGAATCTGAAGCAGAATTTCCCAGACATCAGCGTAAGACTCCCAGGGGGCAGGGGGTGGAGCCAGGGGAGTTACCCAGGCACCTCTGCTCAGGAGCCTGCCTTTCTTTCACACAAGCAAGTGTTGGATTCACCAGTGCAGCCGTGACCCCTCTGCCTCACTGAACCCCGCTGGCTTCAGGAAGATTCTATGGGCAGCCTTCCTTTCTCAGTTGCAGCCTCCAGAGCTTCAGTCTTGTCTCTCCCCTGGGCTCACTTCTTTCTTGGCAGGTGCCTCTGAGCCTGGGCACTTCTGGCCTCCCTGGGCAAGTTCCTCTTCTTTCCTCCCCTCCTCAGGTTTTAGGTTTGTCTCAAGCAGACCTCACTCAGGGGTCCTCTCCTCCGGGGACTGAGCTTTGCTGGCAAGCCCTGGGAGCCCCACACCAGTGCCTCCCCACCCCTCGCCCTTCTGCTCTCCGCTGTTGTCCCGTGTAGGTTCTGCTGGTCTCACCTGCTTCTGGATTTATGGGTTTCCCCAGCCTTCCAGTTTCTCTGTTGTTAAGTTTGATGTGTGAGCTGGTGATGGGCTTTCTTCTTCTTCTTGTGTTCTTTGTTGCTCTATGTAGTTTCAGGAAGGAGAATGGAACTTAGAATTAAGCTGCTGCCATGTTACTTCTAGACTGGAAGCCTGGCAAGCTGAGCTGGTAGTCTGTTTACAGGGAATCCATATCTACGTGTCACTCGCTCCTCTTTCCTCGCCCTGGATCCTGCTCTCTTGAACTGTCACCTGGGCTCCCTCACCCTCCTGGCTAGTTTGGTTCAGCCAATGGGGGATGTCAGTAGGACATGGGGTGGGAGGCGATCTGGACTGTTCCTCCCCTGCCCCTGCAGCCCCAAGGAAGTAACAACTCCCATTATTGCTGGTCTCTGGTTCCTCACCATCTCTCATTGGTTCCCTTACGTCTGTCCACACCTTGGTGAAGTGTCCTTTGCCTCAGGTACCCCTTTGATGTGCCTTCTAATTTCCACCAGACCCTGACTAACACGGATGGATGTGTGACTGGTGACATGCTGGGGACATCTTCCTTTGGTGACTGACACACCAAGTCTCCAGGAGTCCGGACTTGGCTCCCTTGTGGCTGGGAGGGTTCATGTGTACAAGATGTGTAGGCTCATTATGTACTGTGAGCTCAGATCCATGAAGCAGGGAAAGAGAAGGCAGGTGGACAGTCCTAAAGCTCTTGACATGCATGACATCTGCAGTACAAGTCACACAAGAAATTGTCATGCTTTAGATATAAGACAGTCCTAAGTACTGAAGTACTCAATTTTTTTTTTCAGAGTTAGTAATTGCTAATTTAGCAAATTACTATTTGAGAAACTGGCTCTCCCTGACTTGATGATGCAGCCATCTGGTCCTTTGCCAGCTGGGAAAGCTTCTGAGGCGAGGGGCACTGTGAAGGGTATTCCAGGGTGTGGCTTTGTGGGGAGGGTTCTGTGGGACCTGGAAGCCATCCCAGAGCTGGTAGGTGACACCACCGTCCTACCAGTGGAATGGCACAGACAAGACCTCTGTGGGTGTGGGGGACACACGTAATCAAAGAGGAAATAGCCCAGGTGACACAGTTTGAGAGAGCTTTGGTGGGTCCGGGGAATGTCCCTGTGGATCTCACAGCCCAGTTCCCACAAGCATGTCCAGAAGCACTGCCCCCCACCTCCCCTGCCCTGATCCTGGGCAGCATTGCCTCACACTCTGAGTAGAACCCTCCAGTATTTGGCTGTAATGAGGCAGAAACAGAGTCATGTGGGTCTGCTTAAGCTTCAGGCCTCTCACCTCCAGAGCCCCTCACCTTCAGCACCTTTTGAGTCCACAGCATCCTATCTATGTATTTTTAAATCTTGCTGAAATAGTGTTATTGTATTCTTTTTTAAAAGAAGGCCTCTTCAAATTGTCTAAGACCTGACTACTACTGCTGATGGAGATGGCATGTGTGGCGCTGTTGCCTCATGACTCACCGTTCCCACTGCCACTGCATTCGTGCCCACCCGGGAACTGGCCACAGCTGGGGCCTACCAGCACCACCTGGGCATGTGGGAGGCCCTCTGCCCCACAGAGCCCAGGCTGTGAAGAACCTCAGGTAAATACTAATTAGAGCCGTCACACAGCTCTGAGGGATGTGGGAGCCTGCATGGGGGAGGCAGCTTCAGACTCCTGCCCCAGGCCTGGGCCCCATGGACAGGGACTCAGAAGGACCTTCCCTCCACCCTCCAGCCCTCTGGCTCCAAAGCACCCTCATGCCCCCACCACTCTGGCCCACCCACTGACTGGCCAGTGGCTGATTGTGGAGCAGCTCCTCCCAGGCACATCTGTGAGGAGAGGGAGGGAACAGAAGAATACCAGGAGCTTGCATGCATGATCCCACTGACTATCAGTGACACGGCCAGGGAGGTATAGCTGTCCCTATATTATAGATGAAGAAACTGAGGCTCAGGTTGGGCTAGTGACAAAGGGAAGCAGCATGTGGCACGTGGCTTGAGGCATCCATCTCCATCCCGAATAACCAGGGAGGCAGCCTGGCCCCCAAGCATGTGATGTCAGGGGCTGGTAGAGTGGCTTTCTGGGAATTCTTGCTAGGGCCAGAAGCACCTCCCTCCGTGGTGGGGGTGTCCTCCACCTACTCCTCTAGGCCCTCCTGGGAGGCACCACTGACTTTAGCAGGCCTCCCTAAGAGGTGCAGGGAGGCCAGGTTCCCTCACGTGGTAGCTGCTCTTGTATCGGGCCTCAGGTGCTCCCATGAGCAAGAAGTAGCTGCCAGCTAGGGATGACTAGGCTTCAGGTTAATGCTGTGTCCTCCTCTGCCTTGGGCATGGCACCGCCCTGGGCCCCCACCTGTCCAATGGAGGCTGGGAAGCCACTCTGCAAAGCCAAGGTCCTTGGGAATGGGGAGGGCAGAGGCCCCTCCTCCACTTGAGTTCTTGGCCTGAGGCGCTGCCTGGGTCCCCAGCCCCAAACCACTGACTAGGCCATCCTTGGGACCCTAGACAGCAGGCTGGAAATGCTAGGCCTTCTCTGGGTACACTGGAGCCTGGCTGTGGGGAGTTCGGAGACGGTTGCAGGGGGTGGGGCTGGCAGGGCTGCTGTCCCCAAGCGCTCCTCATCCCACAGGACACTCAGGCCTCCTGCCTTGGGGGAGGGGTGTGTCTAAGAAATGACCTCTCTGTTCAGCCTTAGCCCTGCTCACTGCTCCTGCCCCTCACAGGGGCCCAGGAGGTGGGGGTCCCATGGTGCCAGAAGAGCAGTGCTGCAGCCAGGGTGCTGGGCGGCCCCACCCAGCCTCTTCCTCCTGCCGCCGCCTGCTCTGACTCACTGCCTGACCTCCCACTTGCCTGGGGCGGGGGCTCATTCCCAGAGCCCAGCCAGGCATCAGAGCATCTATAAAAGCACAAAGGTCCAGGCCCCAGCATCCTGCTTGGACGCCACCTGTCACTGCATGATGCTGGGAGGCCTGGGGAAGCTTGCTGCTGAGGGCCTGGCCCACCGCACGGAGAAGGCCACAGAGGAAGCTGGTAAAGACCCAAGGCCCCTGTCTACCTGGGCCACTCTTGGGCTGGGGGATCGGGCACAGACTTGACTGGGCCTATCCAAAGCTGATCCTAGCAGGCTTGGGGCAGCCCTTGGCCCATGAGGAACAATGACTGATCAGCCCCACAAGGACAGATGAAGGTGGGGGTATGGGAGCTGTGGAGGGCAGCTTTGGGTAGAGCCATGAGGGGTTCTCTGCCCTGGGCAACCCTCCTTTTGTCAGACCTGCTCTGCCACTTGGGCTCTACCAGTCCCTGGGGTCTGTGGCTGATGGCGGGAGGGAGGCCCGCTCAGAGGAGGTCCCTGGGGGCAGGAAGGAGCCCAGATACTGGATGAACAGCTGGGGGCTCAAATCATCCCTCAGGAAACCAGGGGCCCTTCCATGTCAAAACAGATCATTCTGAATAGCCTATGCAGGAAAAGAAAGATGGATTTTTATTTGTGCCATAGCTTTAAAGCTTCAAAGATTTTTTCATTAAGAAATCACCAAGTCTGATTCTGTTCAAAGTCAGCCCCCAGGATTCATAGAAAGGACATCTTCAGTTTCCTCAAAGTCCCCCCAAACCCCTTTCTGTATATGGACGTCAGCAGCTCTATGCAGGGAGGCTAATCCAGGTTCCACCTGTTGGACATTTTGTGAAAAACAACTCGTGCCCAAGTTTGCTGTTCTTTCTACATGGTGGCATACATGTCTGTATTTTGTTTGTTAATTCTGCAGCTGGTCTTCACCACCCTCTTTCATCTTTTGCTAGCCCTCTGAGTTCTGTGGTATTCCTCTTCTGCAGGCAAGGGAACCAAACAACAGAGGGTGGAATCAGACCCCGAGTCAGTTCTGGCTCCTGAACCTTCCAGTTCTAGCACACTACCAGCCGAAATTCCAGCGCTTCCCAGGGGGGCAGAGTTCCCTCCTAATGGAGGCACTGCTTCGGGGACTTGGTTTTGCTGAAGGAGCCTTGGGATTTGGCATCCTGCTCTAGCCTCTGTTGGGATCACAGCAGGGCCGCAGGGCACCTGAGAGGTGTGGTAACCTGGGAAACAGGCCCAGCTTGGCTCCAGGTCTCCAGCTGGCAGGAGGGCCTGCTCATCAGCATTCCAGGCCTCTTCAGGCTGAGGAGCATGGAGGGCCCTTTGCCCTTAACTGGCTCACTCAGCTTGTCTCCTGGCAGCCAGCCCCAGCTTGAGTCTCTGAAGGAAGCCAGCTGTGGGGGGTCCTTCCTGTAAGACAGCTCTTCCTGGCAGGGCAGCACCCCAGAGCCCCACACAGGATATCCAGGGCTGTCTGGGCCCTGCCACATGGAGAAGATGGCTCACACTGCACCCTCACTCTGAACTTGTCTCCCCTTTTCAGTTCATGTGGTGGAGGGAGTGGTGAAGGAGGTGGTGGAACATGCCAAGGAGGCTGGAGAGAAAGGTATGGTGAGGTCGGAGCCTGGAAGAGCGGATGGAGGCAGGAGGAGGGGGCAGTGTGGAGGGAGCAAAAAGGGAAAGGGAATGGAGAAAGGGGGAAGCTAAGTGTGCTGGGAGCAACTTGTTCTTTGCCTCACCAGGTAAAATCCTGACCTTGCTGTTGTGTGCTTTCAGTTGGTATGCGATGATCTGTGCTCATCTGAGGCCACGGAGCACACTGTGCTCAAGCAGGATTCATCTAGGTAGTCCTGTCCCTGGGACATTAATGAGACAGCATCACAAAAGTCTATGTGGCAGCATGCCATTTAAGACATAAAATTATATATTTATATAAATAACATATTTACGTGTTTGTTATGCGTGTGTATGCTGAGTTTAATTATGGAAAAGCATACGTATACCTCATTCCACACAACAAAATAGATTCCAGATGGATCAAGGACTTAAACAGTATGAAATTATTAAAGTGTTACAAGAAAACATAGGAGATTTTGGTATAATCTTGGAGAGGAGGATCTTTTCATGACAGGAAGCCCAACAGCCATAAAAGAAATGTTAGGTAAATTTGACAACACAAAACTTCAACATTTTTCATATTAAAAAAAAAAACCATAAGCCAAGCCAAAAAAAAAGACTACAAACTGAGGGAAAGTATTTGTCATAGAAACAATAACCCAATATAAAAATTACCAAAAAATATAAACAGGCAGTTCACAGAAAGATGAAGTTTGAGTAGGCAATGCACCCATGAACAGACACTCAGTTTCACTTATAACTGAAGAAATGTATGCTGTTGGGAGACACATCCCACAGATGGCTCCAGGTGACGCTACTAGCCCAGCAAGTGACTCGAAATGTGAACTTTGCTCATCTGGACATTATTCCCTTTCTTCCCGACAGCCATTTCAGAAGCCTTGAAGAAGGTCCAAGAGACAGGGGACAAAGTGGTGAAGGAAGTCACCGAGACGGTGACCAACACAGTCACAAATGCTGTCACCCATGCAGCAGAAAGTCTGGGCAAACTGGGACAGTGAGCACGCCTTCTCTACTGGACTCTACCTGAATCTCAATAAAAACTGTGAAATGTGTACACTGAGCCCTGTTTTTATTCCTGTTTGGGTGAAGACACTGAATGTGTCCTGAGTGTCCTCTGCAGGGACAGGGGGCCCACATGTTGGCCCCCACTGGGGGTCAGTTCGGTCCCCATGATTAATCAGATGTGCTGCTCTCTCCTGAAGATTTCTCATGTCAGCAAGGAGCTCTTGAAGAATTGTTAGTGTCTGTCTATATTTCCTAAGATTACTTCCCCAGAAACTATATATGGCTTTAAGACACCTCACTGCTTCAAGGGCACTCCAAGGGAGGGTCATAATGTGGTTTACATGTTCTGTGGATTTTCCTTGAAATGTTCTTACAGAACTCAGGGCAGATAAAAGACCAACCTGATTGAGAGGTTAGCTGTGCAGGCTCAGACAGCTTGAGTCGCTCCATGTTCTGCAAGAGGTTTCAGAGAAGCATTTCTGCTGGACAGTCACAGCAGCGGGTCACGAAGGCACTGAGTCCACTGCCTACTGGCTGTTGAAGCCACTGTCCGATCTCCCCTTGGAGACTTGCATTAGGCCTAACTGGTGGTAATGGGAAAGAGGGCTTCTGTCATTCCTGCAATGAGTAGGCTGTACCATAAAGGTTATATGTTTAAGCATTTAGCTTAGCTAACCTAGTGCTGCCTTTTCCCTGGGGCTATTTGTCGTTGAACATTTAGAGGCAACTTTTTAAGTTGGTTGCTGTATGAAGTGGTGGATAATAGTTTTGGCAAACAATAGGGTAAAAAAAGGAAATGGCTTGTCTAGATATGGCATTGTTTATTTATCTTTCTGGAAGTTACTTATTCTTAACAAAATTAGACAAAAAGATGATTTAAGGAATGAATTAGTTGCTCACCATATTTCTGGCTTTCTTTAGAATTGGCATTGTAAGTCTCTGAATAGCCCAGGAATATATCAAATATCCTGCCTTTGAACATTTACTACTATCAAGGTAGATCTGGACTTATATCTTGTTTCGGTTCCTGATGACTTTTGAATTCCTCCAATCCAAACCCAGACTCAAAAGGATGAGAGCATTGTGGGTGGCAGTGCATGCTGGCATGCCCTCTTTGGATAGCAATTCCTCTTACCAGACTTTATCCTTCAGGTATGCACAGGTACACACAGATGCCCAGAGGGTGAACAAGAAGATTCATCACAGTATCTGTGCAATAGCAATAGACCGGAGCATCCCAAAATGCTAATCAGGAATCACTAGGATGTAAGATTTGCTCTGCTTATTAGGTTTGATGCACAATATAGAGTTGATACCCATCGCTTCTACTGTTTTAATGCCTTAGCTTGAAAATAGAGGACCTTTGCCAAGATGGCCACCAGTAGGGACTGGTTAACAATTATTGTGTATATATAAAATGTATTATTATCTGGTTGTTAAGCATGAGGAAAATGTATGGATATCATATGGGAACCTGAACAAGTTAATAAGTTATAAAGTACATACACAGAATAAGTTAATTTCTTACAGACACATAATTGTGTAATAGAAAAAATTGGTAGCATATATATATCAAACATATTCACCATGCTCATCTCTGTGTGTCTATGGGAATATGAAGAATCTTCATTTTCTACATTACATACTTTGATGATGCTTGCTTGGATTTAAGAGAAAACCAATACAGATATATTTTAAAGTTTGGTTGTTGAGGGTATGTACTAGCTTATTCAATATTGTTTCCTACTTAAGTGCTAGTCAAAGTTTGCTGGTTTGCAAACTTTGTTACACTTGGTGACAGGTAAGTAAAGAAACAGAGTGTTTAGAAATTCTTATAGCAACTTGACATTGCCTGGACCTCCAGGAATGTGATCAGTGGACAGTTCTTGAGCAGGGTGTAGACCATTTATGGGTATTGAACTTGCATGGCAAGTTGTATGTCAACTAGTCTCATGAAGGACAATATACTGTGATGATTTAGATTAAGAAACAAACAAAAACACCAAAACACTGGTCCTTCATCAGAGTTGGAGAAGCACTGCCCACATTCCCTTGACTTCACATTGCAGTGTGCTGTTCTAGAATAACTACTTTTATCTCTCATTTTCTTTCTACTGTGTGTGTTGTGCAATGAGGGGTATGACATCAACCTCAACTCTAAATATGTTATAAAAGCAATTGAGATTTATGTCAGAGGAAACAGTAGAGCAAGGATCATCTATGTAAATCAAATTAAAAACAAATAAACACCATCTTGTTGAGAATAAGCAAGCTTTGTGATGTTTTGAACCTGCCCATTCTTTTCTCATCTCTCGGCCTCCACCTTCTCCAGCTCCACTGTAGCCTTGAAAACCAACAGTCTACAGTGACAGCATGGGGTTATTGGAAAGTGCAGAAAATCCAAGCCTCATTCTCAAAGAACTGTCATAATTTAACTTCACTGGGGGTGCCTTTATTTGTCCTGACTAGAAGCTAATCTAGTGCTGCCTTTTCCCTGGGGCTATTTGTCATTGAACATTTAGAGGCAACTTTTTAAGTTGGTTGCTGTATGAAGTGGTGGATAATAGTTTTGGCAAACAATAGGTTAAATGAAAAACTTAAAAGAAAGACTGGAGAATGAAATGTCCATAGGGGCTTTGAAAATTCCAAATATTTCTGGGAATCTAGAAGGCCATGCGGATGTGTAGGGCTATATGTATGCTCAGTAAAGATCTGAGAAGCTGGAAACTCTCACCTCTGATTAACCATGAGATTCTGTGTAAACAGAAAGTGAAAACCAAGGTAGAGATGTAAATTGGCTGAGTGTTGAAGGTGGGGCCCAACGTGCACACAGCATCCCTTAGCAAAGATGGGAGACTTACAGGTTCATGGTACTTAAAGAAATCAGTCTGATCATTAGCTGACCACTAACCTGAGTAAAAATTTCAGTGGCCACACACAACAACAAAGAAAAAAGACTATAGTATGAGTTGAGAAAGACCACTAAAACACTTAATAACAATGAACAGCAACAATAAACTGGGAACAGGGGCATGGAATCTGATTTCCAGCATTGCCACATTATATTATTTAATATGTCCAGGTTTCAGCTCCCCATTCTCCCATATGTCCCCTGAAAAGAAGATAGGCAGGGAAAGAGATTGTGACCCATTTAATGGGGTATAAACTGAAACTGTGCCCAAGGAAGCCCAGAAATTGGACTTACTAGGCAAAGACTTTAAATCAACTATTTTAAACATGTTTAAAGAACTAAAAGAAACCCATCTAAAGAATTAAAGTATAAGGTGAATACTAGAGAAGAGATAGAAATTATGAAAGAAAGAAACAAGAAATTCTAGACTTGAAAGTTCAACCAAAATAACAAAAATACATTGGGAGGGGCACAACAGCAGATCTGAGCAGGCAAATCAAAGAATCAGTGAACTTGAAGATAAGACAAGTGAGATTATCCAACCTGAGGAACCAAAATCAATGAAAAATGAACAGAGGCTTAGAGACTTGTGGGTCAGCGGGAGCATGGTCCTTATGCCTGTTTATAGGCCCCAGAACTGTGAGACAATAAAATTCTGATATCTGAAGGCATCCAATTTGTGGTACTTTTTAAAGGCAGCCCTAGGAAACTAATACAGTGTTGAAAATTATTTGACTGCAGGGTTTTTTTTTTTTCATTCTTAATTCTATTCCATTGGTCTATATGTTTGCATGCTAGTACTACAATCTTAATTACTGTAGCTTTCTATTAAGGTTTGAAGTTGGAAGTTGAAGTCTTTCAAGTTTTTCTTTTCAACATTGTTTTGGTTATTTGGGGTCACTTGCAATTCATATAAATTTTAGATTTTCTATTTTTGCAAAAAAGGCCATTGGAATTTTGAGTCTGTAGATTACTTTGAGTAGTACTGCCATCTTAACAGTATTTTTCAATCTTATAAACAATGCTTTATAGTTTTCAGCATACAAGGCTCTCACTTCATTGGTTAAATTTATTCCTATTTTATTCTTTTTGATGCTACTGTAAATGGAATTGTTGTGCTTTCTTTACAGATTGCTCATTACTGGTATATAGAAAAACAACTGATTTTTGTTTTGATCTTGTACCCTGCAACTTTGCTTAATTCACTTGTATGTCTAATGGGCTTCCCCCCCCCCTCCTTTTGGTGTGTGTTAGAATTCTGTAATATTTTCTACATATAGAATCATGTCATCTGCAAAGTTTTACTTCTTCCTTTCCAATTCAGGTGCCTTTTCTTTTTCTTGCCTAATTGCTCTGGCTACAACTTCCAGTACAATGTTGAATAGCAGTGATGAAAGCAAGAATCCCTGTCTAGTTCCTCTCACGGGGTAACTTTCTGTTTTTCACTGAGTATAACATTAGGTGTAGGTTTTTCATGAATTCCCTTTATCATGTTTAGGAAGTTCTTTCCATTCCTAGCTGAGTGTTCCTATTTTGAAAGGTTCTTGAATTTTGTCATAGGTTTTCAAATCTCATCTATTGAGATTATTATATGGTTCCCCCAATCCCCCATTCTCTTAAAGAGGTATATTATGTTGATGACTGATTTTCATATGTTGAACCACTCTTGCCTTCCTGGAATAAAGCCTACCTGGTCATAATACTTGTAATGGGCCGCTAGATTCGTTTTGTTATTTGTGTGTATATATTCATAAAGCATACTGGTGTGGTTTTCTATTCTTGTAATGTCTTTGTATCAGGGTGATACTGGTCTCCTAGAAGGTATTAGCAAGTGTTCTCCTACATTCTGGATGAGTTTGAACAGACTTAGTATTAATTCTTTAAATGTTTGTTAGAATTCAGCAGAACTGCATGACCTTGAATTATGCAATGGCTTCTTAGATATGACACCTAAAGCACTGCAACTAAAGAAAAATAAATTCGACTCACAAAATTAAAAATTTTTGTGTCAAAGGACACCACTAAGAAAGTGCAAACATTAACTGAATAAAATATTTGCAAATCATATATCTGATAAGGGTAATAATATATAAGTAACTCTTACAATTCAATAATGAAAGGATAAATAACCCAATT